TGATACTAACTCTGAGAGAGAGAGAGAGAGAGAAATACGTTTATTGTCCTAAGAAAGAGTTCTTGTTGACAAACGATTATGAACTATGTCAAAGTAGTATAAAAGTAATTCCTAAAAGCCCATTTATATAAAAAAGGGTGTCGAACACATTTTTACGAAACAAAATAAATGCTATACAATTTGAAATTCAAAAAATTTCCTTAAAAAAATATGCTAGGTACATACATTAGTAAACGATAATTCATAAAAAGCGTTGTCATTGTAAAATTCATCTAAACTATAATAGACTTTATCAATCACAATGTTGAATAACTCTTCAGGCATATGGGAACTTTGTTGTACATCTTTATTCCATTGTATATCAATGAGCCCTTCACCATTGTTGTTGTGGGCAGGGGAAGTCTGATTAAGTTATTATTGTCAGAGTTCGTTGTTCAATGAATAATGGTTTGCAGTGTTCTCGGAACTTTGCCCCGCAAACATACCGGACAGCTCGCTTCTGTAAAACGAAAACAGTCTGCAGCATGCTTTTGCTGCATACTCCCCAGAAGGGGGAGCAACTTGATAATATGTTCCTCAAATTATCAATGTGAAGTCCTAAGAATTTGGAGGACAATTTCATCTCGAGAATGTTGTTATTCAAACTAACACATTTCAAGGTGAGGAGATGGGTTTCATCAAAGTTTAAAGAAAGCTTATTTGAGTCGCACCAGCTCTTAATTTTTTCCATGTCTACAGTGGCATCTTGAGCTAGTTTTGTAGGATCTTTTCCCTGCCACAGCAACGTTGTGTCGTCTACAAATAATGTGATGCTAGCAGCTAGATCCAGTTGTATTATATAATTGATATATAATAGAAACAAGATGGGTCCTAGGAAGGAACCTTGAGGGACACCTGATTTGATTTCTCCTACATTTGAGTCGGTTGAGAGCCTTACAATTTGCTTTCGATGCAATAAGTACCATTCAAACCATCTAATGCTTCTGTGCTCAAAACCATAATGTTTCAGCTTCCGCAGTAAGATTCCGTGATCAGCGAGATCAAATGCCTTGGAAAAGTCATAGAATACAGCTGCTGAATAAGGCCCCAGAATTCATATCACTATAAATCTTATGCAGAAAAAATTGCATCACTTGTATTTTTGTTGTTTTGAAACCCATACTGCTGTGGACTCAATATATTATTATTATAGAGACAGTAAATTAACCTGTCTCTGTGAATTCTCCTCAACGTGGGTTTTCACTGTTTTTCTAGTGGGTAGAATTTTCACCGTGGGGTGTTTTCTAAGCATATGACGCTTCAAATTAGTCACGGAAGATTTGAAGGAAATAACCTGCTTGCAAATTTCGCATGTTGCTAGTTGCAGTTGTTTCTCTATGATTGAAAAAAAATCCAAATAGGGCTTAATTTTTCATTTATTTTACACTAAAATTCAGCCTGTTACTGAAATAAAACTCTAGAACAACAAGACGAATGGAGGAAGCGTACGGAAATTCGGAACCACTCGGAACCGAACGCTAAAAAGTGACCATGACGCAAGATGAGACGTCATTTAAGAACAGGTGAACATTGAACAGTTAAAAAGAACAGGTTTTCGATAAGAACTGGAACAATTCGAACAAGTTCTTCAAATTTAACTGTTCAGTGCCATCTCTATTTCGGGCTCATTAGCCACTCGTCAGTGCAAGATAGTGGCCATCAACGACCTAAAGTCAAGGATTTCCATAACTGAAAATCGGAATTTTTCAGAGTATTTCATTCCTCCTCCCAAGTTGAAGCGAACAACAAAATGTCACTCCATCTAGTGGATGAGGTACTAACCAACTGCAATTTCGAAATTTGCCCGATTTCTCTGAATAAGGAAGACTTTCTTATTTACGGATATGCAGTTGGTTAGTACCTCGTCCACTAGATGGAGTGACATTGAGTGACATTTTGTTGTTCACTCCAACTTAGGAAGAGGAGTGAAATACTCTGAAAGAATTCCGATTTTCAATAACAGAGAGATCCTGTACGCCGACGACACGGCTCTTCTCTCGTCTTCCATAGGTCGAGAGCTCGGCGTCGTCTACATGCAACGTGAAGGCTGAATTTTAGTGTAAAATAAATAAAAAATCAAGCCCTACTTGGATTTTTTTTTTAATCACAGAGAAACAACTGCAACTAGCAACATGTGAAATTTGCAAGCAGGTTATTTTTTCAAAATCTTCCATGACAAATTTAAAGCGTCATGTGCTGAAAAAACACACCACCGTAAAATTTCTACCAACTGAAGGAACAGTGAAAACCCACGTTGAGGAGAATTAACAGGAACAGAGACCTACCTACTTACAGGTATATTTAAAAATTTCATGGAAAATAATTTTGACTTGTCAGTTCTCAGTGTAGCCGAGAGCACAGCCCACAGAGCGGTCACTTCATCCAGGTTCCAGCACCAACCTACGCACGCGTCTTTGGAATAGCCACTCACCGTCTGAACGGGTTCAGTTCATTGAATAGAACAGGTTCACTGAACAGTTGACTGATACCTGTTCCGAAAAACCAGTTCGGTTTTTTTGAGCTCATCTCTACTTTCAGTTGTATTGCATATGCAATTGGAAATTTTCTGTGAAGATTCCTGCACTGACGCCTGTCGGATATAATCCAACGCCCTTCGTGGTATTAGCCAGGAGAGTAGTTGTTTTCTGGTAGGCGTCAGTCCATTCAAACTACTGTGTACGTATATTTGAGACTGGCTTGAACTTTAAAGTTCATGTTTTTAGATTTGTTTACTGCCAGTTTTCAAGCATATCTCACTGACTAATAAGAAACACACTAATAAAACTAAATAATTCTCAAATAACGTCTTTATTTTTAGAAAACAACTTTGTTCAACAACTACAATATTTGTTGTTTAATTTTACAATTTTGTAAATGTTTCCTAATATCTCACTCGAAATGATCCCCATTTTTTTAGTATCCTCAAAAATATAGAAGTCTTTCTAGAATTTCATTATAACCTCAATTACTGAAGAACCATTATCGTTCATGAAACTCGGATTAGGTAGATGTGTGAGTCAAGAAATATAACAAACTACTAGTTGGGCTCATAAGTGAATGACGAATATAAATGTTCCGATAGTATATCCGACTTGCTGTTGACAAGTATAACTTTCCAAGTCGCCCAAAAAGTATTCAATTTAGAGGACCAAGACAAATAATGATGAAAGCAATCCATTCCAGCTTAATCTATTTTTCAATACATTGCCAAGTAAATAAGAATAAGTGAAGAAGAAATGAGGTTATGGATGGACGAAAAGACAATTGCTACTTTCATACTGTTGATCAAACATTATATTTATTCATCGGCTACAACTAATGACAAATGCCTACCACATTCAGCAACAAGATGCGTCAAAGCTGTTTCTATGGCCGCATCCACTAAAGTTGGCTCAACTAATTTATAATCAGAAGAATTGGCTGAGAATTTTATATGAAATCCTCAAACATCTCTAGGGTAAAAAAGATCTAAGATGAAGTAGGTATGACTGAAAATGCGTTTCAAAGTTTTTCAGAATACCTACTTCAAAAGTTTGACTGATCAACCAATTCTCCTGAGAATCCAATTGAGGCGATTCATTCACATTCACAGCTCAGTAGTTCAACTAGTATGAGATTATGTTCACATGCAGAGCAGCAGGATGAAGAAGAAGTACAAAGAAATATGAACTAAAATAAAAACTGATCAAGTTCATATTAAAATATTTGCAATATTAGTTACCAGAGAAGTAAACAAAAATGAAAAATCACTACATGGAGCCAGGCCAATACAAAGCATAGTTTTTCTAAACCTGCATGTGCACATACTCTACCCAAAACAATAGTTTACAAGAGGACAAATAAATTTATTGCCAACAACAAAGGTACTACAAGGGTGGTCTGAAAAGTTTCCGATCTCAACATGAAGATGGCAGCACTCGTAAATGAAAGCTAGCGAATTTCATTTGTTTATCTGTTGACAGTTACTTACCAAAGTTCAAGCCATTTTGGACGCGCAGTTGTTATGAAACAGTCGTGTGAGTGAGCTGATATGAGTATTTTTGAGAAAAAGTACAAAATCAAGTATCGAGCTGTCATTAAATATTTGTTTTTCAGAAGCGATACGTCTATATGCAAATCAAAGATGAGTTGGATTCTGTGTATGGGGATTCTACACAATCACTCATCACAGTGACATTTTGGGAAGCTGAATTTCAACGTGGCCGTAAGAGATTAGGAGACGATGAAAGTTTGGGACATCCAAAAACTGCAACTACCAACGAGAACATCGCCAAAGTTCACCTAATGGGGCTAGACGACCGCCGAATGAAAGTGAGAGAGATAGCAGAATAATGATCATTTCAAAAGAACATGTTTGTCACATATTAAATCAACATTTAGTCACGATCCGCTCACATCCTGTTAGGCCAAAAACTTTAGTTCAACGCTCTTTTGGCGGAGTTTAGGCGCAATAAATCTGAGTTTGGCCGCGGATTAATTACTGTAGATGAAACTACGCAACATTATTTGATGAGCTGAAGGTAGAACTTGCGGAAAAACGACCACATCTGCAGAAAAAGAAAACGTTGTTTCACCAAGTCAACGCAGCGTCTCATACCTCCATGGCGAAAATCCACGAATCCGCCCTACTCCCCAGATTTAGCTCCAGGCGACTTCTTTTTGTTCCCACATCTAAAAACTACGCTTGGAGAACTCACGAGTTTCGTCAAATGAGAGGCAATCACCTTCGTAAACCCTTTCTCCTTCATGAACAACACCAAACCGTTATTTTCAACACCTCGGCAAGTGTTTCGAACACCAAGTGATCATCTTGCAGAAAAAAACGCCTAGTACTATATGGAGATGTTACAGAGATGGGAGCAACGCTGGGAAAAATGTGTAGAGTTAAAAGGAGACTGTCAAGAAATAAAAAAACATCCGAAAAAAATGTCTTGTATCTTTGTTGGGTCGGAAACTTTTTAGATCACCCTCGTATTTTATCTGAAGCACTATTAAACAATTCATAATTGTGTCCAGAAAGATTTCAGCAAAATAAATCCAATTTTTTTTGAGTAGAGAATTATATATCAAAAATTATTACTTATTACCTACTGGCAAGAAAAACTGATCACAAATAATGAATATTTCATAACAAGATCACATAAATTGTGGTGCTAAAACAAAACATTCCAAATTAATTTTCAGTTAGATTTTCATTAGTATTTACATGTTGAGTTTGGCCTGATTCCTGAAAAACAATGAAAACAGTTAGGAAAAATGTTATAAAAGAAGCAAAACGAGCCCACACCACATCACAACAAGTTTATGATGTTAACTTACTGTTGGTTTGGACCGGTGGGTATCCACTGCATCTATGTTGAGAGGAATTTCTTCTACTCGACAGCCATAAGCAACAGGCGTTAATTTAATTATGGTGTGCAGAGGAACTCTCAGATATGGTAAGTCATCTGTAGAAAAAGGTTGAGATTAGGTGATTATCATTCTGCATTGATATCTCAATGATTTTTTAGTGATATCTAACATACAGGAGCTTCAAAAAAAGATATTTTTCAGGTAGATCTGTTCAATAATTTTTTCAAGGTATATGACCAAGAAATTATTGAAGAGAATGTTATATACTTGGTAAATTGTTTGAATAACATATTTGATACACATATGTTAATAACTAATTTCAGAGTAACAAAACCAAAAGCTCCATGGCTGATGGGTGTAATAAATGATTGCTGAAAGAGTAAAATTTGAGATAACAAAATTACAAAGGCACTTCATGCGTAATCTTACCAACCAGGCTATCAAAAGAGAAAAAAGCTCATTTTGCCCGCGAATTTTTGTGACACTTCACCAAAGGACATGTGTAAAACTCTCAAGGCTAACAACATACATATTGCAGATGACTTAATGAAAGCAATAGATGAAAACAAATGTACGGTGGTAGTCCTACTAGATTTCAGCCGAGCGTTTGATACTATTAATCATAATCTTTTGTTAGGTATTTTGGATTATAATGGTTTTACTGCCAACGTAAGGCATTATTGACGGGCTATTTGAAGGATAAACAGCAGTTAGTTAGTATAGAAATATGTCACATCTCAAATCAGGGGTACCTCAAGGATCTTTTATTGGCCCTTCATTATTCTCTATCAATACTTTTTACTAACTATAGGCTCTGCACACTCATCAGATGCGTTTATATGCTGATAATACTCAAATATATCACAGCTTTTAGGTGAAAATGGAAGACAATGCCTGTGACATTGTCAATGCAGATATAAATAAATCTGTTGAACTGGCAACGGACTACTGTTCATTTATAAACAATAGTAAATAGAATGTGATAAACTTTGGTTCAAGATTTCACTGTTCCATAGTGATTAACTCTGCAAAAATCTGCATTCGAAATGAACCACTAGATATTGTTAGTGAAGTAGAAAAATCTTGGTGTTGTGAAGGATGTATATCTGAGATTTGAAGAATGTATAAATAAACTCTCACAACGTGTCTACTCTGCACCGAAAATCATTTATGGTATCAGATGTTGGCAATGTCTATTCCAATTCAGGAATTCATCCAGATGAATGTTGGAAATATCAAAAGTTCTCTTTGATGTTTGTGTTCGTTACCAACTGGCCGGATAGCCTTAGTTGCTGAGGCCATTGGATAGAAAATAATAATAAGAAGATGTTTGTGGCGACATCTATGTTATGCAGTACCCATAATATTAGTTAGCAGCACTGCCGTGCATCTTGTTTTGAATTATCACTAGTTGAGTAAAATCTTATATCTCAACAACACCGTACCTAGTAAATACCTAAAAATTCAACACTACTACCATCAATTTTTAAAGATATGTTATTTACATTGACCTGGACATTTTCATTTTTTTTCGGGAAATTGTGAGTACGAATAACCAGTGTTTTATCTGTGTTGAAAAATAAATCGTGCCCATCAAAAAAAAAGATATATGGCCGGATAGCCTCAGTTGCTGAGGCCATTGGATCGAAAAGAAGATGTTTGTGGCGACATCTATTATGCAATACCCATAATATTTGTTGGCAGCACTGCCGTGCATCTTGTTTTGAATTATCACTAGTTGAGTAAAACTTACATCTCAACAACACCGTACCTAGTAAATACCTAGAAATTCAACACTACTACCATCAATTTTTAAAGATATGTTATTTACATTGACCTGGATATTTTCATTTTTTTTCAGGCAATGGTGAATACGAATAACCAGTGTTTTATCTGTGTTGAAAAATAAATCGTGCCCATCAAAAAATAGATATTTGATTTAATGCTCTTGAACATTCAGTTTCTAAAATTGTTGTATCAGGTGCAGACACAATCAATGAAAAATCGTCAGCATGGGCTGTCTTTATAGAGTCAACGCAAATAGGACCTTATATGGAGCCCTGTGGTACATCCATTGTTGTTTCTATGTTGAGAGTTACATTTGACGACAGTTCTGGATATGATGATACAAAATGACTTCTAATATTGAATAAAAATATTTTGCTGTTAATGAAATTTAAAATAATGCTCCCAATTTATAAAAAACTTGAAACTTCATATTAATTGAGTCTTTAGATTTGTTAATAATCAGTGATCAAACCAATATTTTAAACTCTTCTGAGATTGATTTAAATGTAATCAATCGAACATGGCAGGTTTTCCTAAATATTTGTCAATCATCATTTCTAATATTTACCTGCTGTTTTATCCAAGAAATAGGCGAGTAGACATCTAATCACTGCTTGGTGTGATACAACAAGCACATTTCCTTGCCTTTCTAACTCCATAATAACAGGTTCTAATCGTGCTACCAAATCTTCATAACTCTCACCTCGAGGATACCTGTATGCGAACTTATTTACATCTCTGGATGCAAACTCTTCGGGGTATTTTTCTTTGATTTCTTCATAGGTCATTTCTTCACAGACGCCCTGCAAAAATCATTGATAATGTACTGAGAGTGTGGTTAGTGGGAAAAATAACAATGTAGTGAATAAATTTGAGTCCACTAGTTCAATAAACGATCGACCAACACCCGAAATGCAAGATCTGCCGAAAACATTGCCGCTGTCTGTGAGAGTGTACAGGACAATCCGAAGTGGTTGATTTCGTGTCGCTCACACGACTCGACCTTTCGCAGGTCATAACTTGGTGAATTTTGCATCGTGACTTTGGCCTGCACCCGTACAAAATTAAACCGATCCAGGAATTAAAGGTAAACGACCATAGACAACGACGAGTGTTCGCTGAATTGACTCCGGAGTAGTTAGCAACTGACCTTAATTTTCATCGAGAAATTATCTTCATTGATGAGGCCCATTTCTGTATTCCATAACAGATGTTTGGAGTACAAACTGAATAGGG